CATTATACAACTCGTTCAACATTGACCGTGATATTATACCCATAACTAGTTATAATTCAAGTTGTTTGGGTTTTGGACTCCGTCAATCCGAATTCCAATGCACTGAGTTTTGATTGAGCCTACTATCGAGAGAGCTACTCTCGATCTGGCCGGCTGTATGATATGAAAATAGGTGTAATACAYTAATGTCCCCGCTGAATATTAAAATGCATGACACCCAAATCTCTGAAGCTCTTAATTGGAATCCTAGCCTTTAATACATGCCTTAAGGAAGTAATCTCCCGAGCTACTACATCAATAGCTCTACGCATGTATCTGCCAAGTGTCTTAGCCTTATTTTTAGTACCCTTACCGAAAACACGGTAGGTAGACCAAGCTATCGTTTGTAGGTTTGGCTATCTGCAAATTGAAAAAAAAAAATCAAAGATTAATGGCCTTTTTTTATTAGAAACATTAATACTAAACAAAAAGCAAAGGGGTCTTAGTTAAAGGAAACATTGTATCTGGTGAGGTCTGGCATGAGAATGAGAATGAGAACATAATCAAAATGCATCCCGACTTTCCATTGGACTTTTTTAAAAGTCCAATAATTACATACATTAGCGTTAGAGCGGAATGAGTAAAGATGAATCAAGACGTAAAAGACGTACCTAGAACTTTTTTGTAAAATATGTAAACTATAAGAGTGACTGCACATTATCGTGGAATTTGTTTTGTTAGATCAGGTTTGGATGAGCATGTGACCACGAGTAAAAGATCGGTTGATACGACCATACACTTTAGAAAGGCACGTCGACACTTACCTCTATACTGATTACTTTAAAACAAACGACTTTATTATCAGTATATAACGACTTTATCTTCTTTTGGAGTTTTCCCACAAAGCTTTGAGACAAAGTAACAAGCCAAGACCTCCGCTATTTCAAGAAAGGTTTGTGTTGATACATGCCCCGAGGAAGTGTACAATACACGCGAATATGCATATTTATAAGATATGGAAATGCATGAAAATGGATAGCTGTTCACAGGAGTGGACAGCGGTATACTAGCGTGTGTGGGGAAACGTTTTACAATGCGTCATGTAGGGTGGGGGGCCGGGGAGGTCAGAACCAGCTGTTCGACGTCGTAGATGAAATAAAATAAAAAATGTAAGAATGCCTGTATATGATCTTGGAATTTTTCTTTCTCGATCAGGTTAATGTTTTGATGAGCACTGACTGCCTGGTTGAAACAACAACAACAACAACAAAAAAAACATTGGTTAAATTTATGCAACTGAGACAACCAGTTTTAAAACGGTTGAAATATTGGTTGTTATGTAACGATTTACTTTGGGTTGCAACAACCATAATAATAATGGTTGACATGAACGATTTACTTTGGGTTACAACCACCATAATATTATTGGTTATTATGAACAATTTACTTGGGATTATAACAACCAAAATATATTGGTTATTATAACCAATATTGTTAAGGTCAAGGCTATGCAACTGAGACAACCAGTTTTTTTATGTTACTTCCTGTCAATTTAACCAATTGCATTATGGTTAAAATTTAATTGCTAAGATCAAGCTACGATTCTAAAATTGATAGAAAACAATAACGAGAGCGAACATGCAATTTCAACATTTTGTAAAAAAATTCCAAAAAAATTCTTCGTTATCTCTTTTTAACTTTGACAGCTGAATACAGTATATATGAGAGTATATTTACCATGTGATGTTTTCATTATTATTCTTTTGCTTTGATAGTTATTAAAGAAATGAATTATTTTTCTTCAAGCAAATTTTTCGAACACTTGACATTCTGTTTGATAGTCAGACGCAAAAGCATCTGAGCTACTGGACTATCTTTTACAATCAAATTCCACTTCGAGAGGATATCGAACAGCCGTCCGTCCTCAACAACAAGAGGTCTAGTAGCTCAGTTGGTTAGAGCGTCCGTTTTGTTTGGTTGCAGTATTAATAACCTTATTGGTTATTTTATCAACCAAAATGAATCTGCAATTATATTAACCAATTGATATTGGTCATTTTATCAACCAAATGTGAGGTTGTTTTAACCAAAATGAAATTTGGTAATAACGACCATCTTGTTATTGGTCATTTTATCAACCAAATGTAGGTTGTTTTAACCAAAACAAATCTGGTAGTGACTACCATATGGATATTGACCATTTTATCAACCAATAACAAATTAGTCGTAATAACCATTCAATTTTTTTAAATTATAACCATAAAAGATTGGTTTATGTGATCATATATTATTCAGAAAGACATTTCGACACTTACCTCAATGATTCTCAGTCTTAAACGAAGGGATTTCTTTTCTTTTGCAGGTTTCCCACAAACTTTTGAGCCAAACCTGAACCCGAGAACTCCACGTTTTCAAGATCAGAAAAGGTTTGTTTCAATGCTTCGGTAATGCAGTACCGTACGAAAGCTGGATTTTCATTGCTCCCTAAGTACAGTACCGTTTTTGTAAGGTTAGGTTGAGTGCTATTGTTTGGAAGACCAATCTATTGTTTTTTAATCCAATCATGCGACTAGTTCCAAGCGGTGCTACCTGGCTCCAATGCTTCTGTAAACCTTTCCTAAGACTAAGCTAGCCTAATTTGTTTTAAAATAGTATGTTGTATGCCTAGAAATGCCCAAGTATATTTTATAGTATACCTTTCATGTAGTATATACTTTCATAGGTATATGCTTTCATATACTATGAAAGGTATCACAAGCATACACAATGAAATGTATGACTACAAGTATATACTATGAAATGTTTTGCAAGCATCAATGAAATGTATGACATGTATATACTGTGAAAGGAATGACAAGTATATACATTTGAATGTGTTTACAAAATATTGAGCTTAAATACGTAAAGCTGTCCTTATGGCGAAAGGTTAAAGCAAACCGTTTTTCTGCCATGTCATATGCTATGAAATGTATGACAAGTATATACTATGAAATGTATGGCAAGTATATATAGAATAAAATGTATGACAAGTATATGCTGTGAATAGTATACTTGTCACACCTTTCGCAGTATATACTTTTACCTTTCATAGTATATACTTGTCATATATTACGTAGTATATATAATATATATTATTCTTGGGATGACTAAATGACTTTTTGATCGTGATTTTGTCTCGTATTGGGGCTATAATTCTTTTTG